AGACCAGACGTGCGACGGAGGAGTCGGGTCAGGAGACAGGGGAGGGGACACAGGAGGGGAACGAGGGGGGAGACGAGCCGGGGACGAGTCCGGCGGAGGGAAAACAGGGCCGTAGACAGGAGGATGAGGAGACATTCGGGGAGGAACAGACGCAGGGTCGGGGGACGGAAGGCCGAGCTGGCGAAGGGCTGACACCGGCGGGGACTGCGGCTGCGGCGGCACAACAGCGACACCTGGACCGCAAGCTGCTCCTCGGCTACCTCCGCCACACTCCACACCAGCACCCCCAGAGGGACCACCCCCAGGGCGACCGGGACGAGCACCCCCAGAGTCAGCAAACGGGTGCTGCGACGGCGGCGGCGGTGGCGGCGGCAGCGACAACGACGGCTGCAGCGGCGGCGGAGGCGGTGGAGGAGGGGACTGGGGAGGGGCGGCCGGCAAGGACTGCACAGGAGGGCCACAAGAGTCAGAAAACTCCTCAACCGGGACCACCGACAGAAGGGGGGTGACGTGGGACACACCTGAGGGGGCGGGACGGGGAGGAGGAGGAGGAGGGGCAGGGACTACCGGGGAAGGAGTGACCAGGAACAGGGGGGGGGTAACCGGGGGACCACGGTGGGGGAAGCGACGGTAGTAGGAGACGGACTCGTCAAAGGTGACGTCACGGGAGTGAAAGAACCGGTGAGACGGCGGGTGGTAAAAGTGCCAGTCGGACGCGTCAAGGGGAAAGCCGAGGAAGACGCAGGGAAGGGTGCGGGCAGTGAGCTTGTCCGTGCCGGAGGCACGAACGTGAGCAAGGCAGCCCCAGACGTGGAACGCAGACGCGTCACCAGGAGACCCAGTCCAAAGACGGGTCGGCGAAACCTGCGGCTGCTGAGGGTGCGGCCACAAGTTAAGCTGGTGAGAAGCGTAGCGCACAGCGTACGGCCATAGAAAATGGGGTGCACCGGCATGGATCATGGAGGTGCGAGCTACCTCCATGACCAAACCGATGCGTCACTCAGCGACCCCATTCTGGTGTGGGGAGTCCGGTAGGGTGAACGTCTGGGTGATGCCCTCCGCACGACAAAAGCGACCAAGGACACCTGCGGCAAACTCGCCACCGAGGTCTGAGTGAAGACGCAAGACACGAAGACCGCGGTGGACACGCGCAGAGACAAGCCAGGGGATGAGAGCGCCAGGCACGTCGGCCTTGCGCTCCAGGGGAAAGACTGTGGTGTAACGAGTGAAGTCATCGACAAGCACAAGGAAGTAGCGCTCTCGACGCGGCCCAGGGACGGGGGCGGGGCCCCAGACGTCCAGGTGCAGGGTCTGCAGCGGCACGGCGGTAGGGGGAAACGAGGAGGAGTGAGGGGCACGGCGAATCCGACCCTCGACACAAGGCGTGCAAGGTGGGGCTGGGGAGGAGGGAAACGCGGGGAGAGAACCTGGGAGACCAAGGACAAGACCGTGCTGGGACATGTGACGCAGACGCGGGAGCGCAGGGTGACCTAGGCGGTGGTGCCAAAGGAGGGTCGGGTGAGTGAGGGACCGACAGGAGCAGGCAGCAGCAACCTGGGTGAGCGCTCCAGCCGGGGGGGTCACGGTGTCCAGAGTGAACAGGCCGGACACCGGGTCCCGGGGGAACGTGGACAGGGGGGGACCAGTGGCGGCCTCGGTACAGACAGCATACCGCTCGTGACCAGGGAACGTAGTGGTGACGCCAAGGTCCTGGAGGCAGCCGACACCAACTAGGTTCCTGGAGAACGAGGGGATATGCAGACCTGTGAGAGTGCCCGAAGGAACCGCCGGACAGGGAAGGGTGGTGGAACTGCGGGCGACTACCGGACCGCCGGAGGGGTCAGCAAGAGAAACAGCAGCAGGAACAGGAAGCGGCGTCAGGGTGGTGGAGTCGCGGAAGAAACACCGAGAAGCGCCAGAGTCCAAGGTGAAGGAAAGCGAAGCAGAGGCGTCGGACGAAGGAACGACGGCGGAAGCACCAAGACTACACAAAGCAGGGGATCCTACGCCTGACGCAGCAGGGGAGGCTAAGCTAGGCACACCTACACTAGGCAACAGTGAGTAATAAGCTGGAAGCACACTAGAGTCATCAGCATACATCACATGTAGAGCAGAAACAATGGCATCCATGTCCATATCAAAAATCTGAATCTTACGACTAAGCAAACTGTGCCAGTCCGGGAGGTCTGGCGACGGGCCGAAGCGCTGACGAAAGAGGTCGTCCAGGCGACGAAAACAGCGGGGAGTGGAGTGACCGATCTTACCGCAAACGAAGCCGCGGCGAGGACCGGTCTGGATCTGGTACTGACAACGCCCGCCTCCAGAGCCACCACTCGGCACACCACCACGCGCCCGGCCACCGCCAGCGCCGGGCCACCCGGGCGGGAGGACACTCGTCTGCCGCGTCTGCGACGGCTGCTGCGGCTGCTGCGAGGGCTGCGACTGCGGCGGCTGCTGCGGCTGCTGCAACTGCAGGGGCGGCGGCTCAGCTGGACTGGGCAGGGTCCCCTCGTCCGCTCCAGCACCAGACGACCCGACCCCACCACTACCCCCTCCCGCACCCCCGCCTCCTCCTCCGCCGCGCCCAACCTTGGGGCGGCGGCCCTTCCCCGAACAAAACTGCGCTGCAGCAGCAGTCTCAGCCACTGCGGCAGAGCCGTCGGAGAAGGTACACTGAGCGGGGGCACAACCCTGAAAGATAGGGACCGGCACAACACCGCTCGCCTGGGCGATGGAGCGGTGACGGGTCTCAATCACAGTCAGGGTGTCTACAAAGTCAGTGAAGGTGAGGTCTGCCGGGTGAAGGCTAAGGAAGCGGTCGCGGGCGACAGCAAGGCGGTCAGGGAGGCGGGTGGCAAGCAGGTAGAGGGTAGAGGTAATGGGCGGCTGGTGGGCTCTAAGCTGTGCGTCAGTGCAGGCAGCGCGCCAGATCTCATCTATCGAGCGCAGGTGGGCAGCGAGGTCAGAGACAGTGGGGAAAGATGCAAGGTCAGGAAAGAGCATCGGGAGGATCAGACGACCCACCGAGGCAGCCGGAGGGGTGGAATAGCGCTGGATGACAGCATCTAAGTATGCCTGAGCAGTAGTGAGGGACCGAAAGCGAGGGCACTCGGACGGAGGAAGGGCGTTGCTAATGGCAAGCTGGGCAGCAGCATCGCGGGAAAGCCAGACAGAGCGCGCACAGGCAGTGGCAGCAGTAGACTCGCGCTCAGTGGGTGTGGAGTCAGCGGGCAGAATAGCAGGAGGGTCTGGGCAGGGGAGCGTACCGTCAAGGTGTGCGGACAGCGGTTCACCATCCTGCCGCTGGCCAGTGAGTTGGCGGCGGAGGTCGGCAAGCCACGCCTCGAACTCCAGAGGCTGGCCTTCAGCGTCGAAGCGAAGCTCCGCCGCCATCAGGAACAGTGCAGGGCGGTGCAGTGCAGTGCAGCAAGGTGGAGTGCGGTGCAGTGCAGTACAGGGCGGTGTAGTGCGGTGCAGTGCGGTGCAGGGCGGTGCGGGGCGGTGCAGTGCGGGTCAGTACGGTGCAGGGCAGTGCAGGGCGGGGGGGGGGGGGGGGGGGGACCGTACCAGTGAGGAGGAAGGGGCCGGGGCAGGGACGAGCGCAGGGGCCGGGCCGGTGCAACGGGGCCGGGCGGGTGCGACGGGGCCGGGCGGGCGCGACGGGGCCGGGCAGGGGCGACAGGGCCGGGTGAGGGCGACGGGGCCGGGCGGGCGCGACGGGGCCGGGCTGGTGCGACGGGGCCGGGCGGGTGCGACAGGGCCGGGCCGGTGCGACGGGGCCGGGCGAGCGGGTCGGTGGCCCAGGAGGGGCACGACGGGGCCAAGGAGGGGCGCACCGGGGCTGGGGGGGCGCGACGGGGCCGGGCAGGGTGCGACGGGGCCGGGCGGGTGCGACGGGGCCGGGCAGGGTGCGACGGGGCCGGACGGGTGCGACGGGGCCGGAAGGCGTGACGGGGCCCAGGAGGGGCTCGACGGGGCCCAGGAGGGGCTCTACGGGGCCCAGGAGGGGCGTTACGGGGCCCAGGAAGGGCGGTACAGGGCCCAGGAGGGGCACTACAGGGCCCAGGAGGGGCGCGACGGGGCCCAGGAGGGGCGCTACGGAGCCCAGGAGGGGCGCGACGGGGCCCAGGAGGGGCGCTACGGGGCCCAGGAGGGGCGCTACGGGGCCCAGGAGGGGCGCAGGAGGGGCGCGACGGGGCCCAGGGGGGGGCGCTACGGGGCCCAGGAGGGGCGCTACGGGGCCCAGGAGGGGCCCAGGAGGGGCGCGACGGGGCCCAGGAGGGGCGCTACGGAGCCCAGGAGGGGCGCGGCGGGGCCCAGGAGGGGCGCTACGGGGCCCAGGAGGGGCGCGACGGGGCCCAGGAGGGGCGCTACGGGGCCCAGGAGGGGCGCGACGGGGCCCAGGAGGGGCGCTACGGGGCCCAGGAGGGGCGCGACGGGGCCCAGGAGGGGCGCGACGGGGCCCAGGAGGGGCGCGACGGGGCCCAGGAGGGACGCTACGGGGCCCAGGAGGGGCGCGACGGGGCTAGGGGGTCGCGACGGGGCTAGGGGCACGGCGGGGCTAGGAGGGAGGCACGGCGGGGCCTAGCTAGGGGGCGAGCGGAAGCGGTAGGTCGGGGGGGGGATCCTAACCGACGCGTGATACCATATCAAAATCAGTGAAGTGAATGCTAGGTAGAGTGAGAGTACACAAAGATATACCTAAGTGTTGTACCTAAGAGGTGACCCTATACAGTCTATACAAACATAACAAATACACATGTTTGACACCACCCTGAGCTGTGTATCGTCTGTCAGGCTCTACCCCTCATCTAGCCTAGGGGGTGTGTCAAACATATTTGTATATATTATAATAGGCTAGATAGGTGCATGCTCTTAGAGGGTACAAACATTTGAACAAAACTAGTTTGTATGTCTCATTCTACTCTGAGAAGGACTACTCTTGAAGCCAGCCTTTACTATTTTAGCCATTAGCTTTAGTGGTAGAGTAGATTGATTCTCTTGGAGTAAAGGTCCTCTTCTCTCCAACATTGGAAACCAACCAAGCCATGAAGTGTTTCCTCATCCATATACGGAATACATCAAAACAACACCCAATTTATTTAACTACAAACACCGAACCACATGTATCTCAATCCACCCACTTGCCATCTATCCCGCAAGACCTTGAGAGTGTATACGGTTTGGCTTGGTCCTCGGAGCAAAACCAGGGGGCCAGCGGCCAAAACGCTTGCGGAACCATTTGACAAAGTCAGTCATGGGGCGGGGCACCGGAGGGGGCAGGGGTGGTGGGTTCGGGCGCACAAGCGAGGGATGGGGTGGAGGGGATGGAGGAGGAGGAGATGGAGGAGGAGGAGGGGATGGAGGAGGAGAGGATGGAGGAGGAGGGGATGGAGGAGGAGGAGATGGTGGGGGAGGGGAAGGGGGGAGGGTGGTGGCAACGGGGGAGAGGGGGGTGGGGATGGAGGAGGCGGAGAGGGCGGGGGGGGACTGGGGGGGGAGGAGATGGTGGAGGGGAAGGAGGTGGCGGAGGAGATGGGGGGGGTGGGGGTGCAGGTGGGTAGGGAGCGGAGAGGAGGCACTTGGTGTTGGAGGTGCGGTCCCAGTTGCCCTGGATGAGAAACCTCTCACCGTTGAGCCCCTGCTGGTTCCACGCCACCATGCTCTGGTTGCCCGACTCCACGTGCAGATCCTCGTACCCGCCAAACCTGCCACACCATACAGCAAGCAACAAGTCTCCCATGAGCATCCTGAACAAGGCGCACAGAGCCAACGCAAGGCGATGAGGCGGATTAGAGGTGGGCAGGCGCGCACCATCCGAGGCACTTCTGAGCATTTTCGTTGGAGTAGTTGTCAGTCCACGTCCGGAGGTCCCAGTTGGAGGTGGTGACGGCCAGCTGGTACGCCATCTGGTTGGCCATGCCATCTAGCACCGGCACCCCGTGCGGTACCTGCCAGTAGTTGAACACCTCCGATGGGATGGCGCAGCGGTTGCACTGGGGGGCGCAGGGGGGCAGGGAGCACAAGGATGGCTTGAGGGAGGAGGCTCAGTTCACGTCACATGTGAGTGAGTGTGTGCTTGGCGTGTGGAAGGCATAGTGACACAATGGATCAAGTGCGCACGGCTTGGTGGCGAGTGGAGCAGCGTGCGTTCTCACAATGTCAGTGGGGTCGCCCATCCAGACAAATTTGATGTTGGTGCTGTTGTAGGTGAAGAAGTTGTGCCAGGAGCAGTAGTCCAGGCAGTACATCTTGTCGTCGCTGCTCTTCATGCCCGACTGCGTCACGTTGTTCGCCGTCACCAGGAACGTGATCTCATTCGCGCTCAGGTTGATCAGCCCTGAGATCACAGCCCCACGCACCACCTGCATGGTGGCGTTGTACCCGATCAGGTCGCCGCCCGTCATTACAAGCTCCTTGCCCAGCGTGATGTTGCCCGTCACGTTGCGCGCTATGCTGTTCGTGTACCGCCGGTTGATGTTCCACCACAGCGGCACTGGGGGGGTGGTGGGGGGGGGGGAGGGAGGGGAGAGGCAGCAGGTGCAGATGGATCGACAGTGTGGTGGGCGAAGCGGAAATGCACAGGGCGAGCGAAGCTTGGCGGCGAGTTGTGGGGGGTGGGCGCGGCTCACGTGTGTTGGCGGGGTCGGAGGTGTTGGTGAGTGCGCTGACGAAGTTGCGCATGACCTGCTTGGTGGCGGCCGCGATGCCGTCGCCATACCAGATGAAGTTCACCGCCACGTTCGCGAACATGATGGGGCCACTGTTGCGGTAGTAGATCGGCCCGCCTGCGCCCTGCAGCCGCCGCCGCCCGCCACTGCCACCGCCACCGCCACCGCGCACGGGCTGCGCTGTGAGCCCGGGCGTGCCCCCCGTGGTGCCACTGCACATTTGACATCGCGCGGGTCGGAGGGGAAGCTGGAGCCCCGGATTATGCGGGCGCTTAAACTGGCTCGCTTGACAGGAAGGGCACGGCAGAGAGGCTGGTGCAGGGCCCCGCAGGCCGCTGTGAGTGGACGCGCACGCACCTGTGGGCTGGGCGATACGCGCCCTCCATGGCCGCTCCGCGCGGCCACGCCGCTGCCGCGCACAGGGACAGCACCACCTGCCGATGGAGGGCGGCGGGGGGGGGGAGGGGGAACGCGGACAGAGCTGGGTGGCGAGGTTAGCGCGAAGCATTCGAGCCGGGTGGTGCGTGCGCGGATTCTAGAATCACTTCCATGGGCGCGAGGCGGTGCAGGGAGAAGTGCGAGGGGGAGCAGAGGGCAGTGCGAGAGTGCGCGACAGGAGAGATTCGTACGAGTGTGGGAACCGTGAGGTGGAGCGGACGAGTGGATCGCACTGAGCTCGCCATCTTAGCTTCGCCCTCCGCCGCTGATGTGCTACTCACTACCGCCAAGGCCGGGCTTTATCCTCGCACAGGGGCTGTGGGGTCGCAGCCTAACGCGGCCGTCGGGTGTAGGTTAGGAATAACGGAGCGAGGAAGTGCCGGGGAGCTGTTGCGGGCTCGGCGACTGCCTCCGTGGTGGGGTGGAGGGTGCATGAGTCGGTGGACGTCACAAAGCCCGTCAGTTGCTGCAGCAGTGCTGCGTCTGTTGCTTTCTCAGCACCTCTGCTGAGGTAAGCGTCAGTTGCACGTAACGACTGCAATCGAAACAGCAGCAGTGCAAGAATGCCAAGCGATCGACGCTTGATTGTCCCCCTCCCTGGTTCGCTGTACCCTTCAGCCCTTTCGCGCGACGCAATAGCTGCTCGCAAGAGATCCCAATCCCAGCGCGAGGCTCTACAACGAACCACTCGCGGCCACAGCAGCGGTGCAGCGCGGTATACTGTTTGGCCATGGCGGACTCCAATGGCTTGGCGCGCAACGGCAGGTGGCACGTGGCGATCTGACTCTTGGTACCCCGCGATGCTTCGACTTCCCCTGCTGCTACGAGCAACCGACGAGGACAGGGATGACGGAGTGCGCGACGGAGCAGTTAGGGTCGGCTGGATACAAGCACAAGGTTTTACAGTAAGCACAATTAATGGGTCGCACCGGTATAACTCGAAGGTGAAATGAGGAAACATACAACCACATGATGATAATTAAGGCCCAGAATGTTCACAAATGGAAAGGAAAGCCATGTGTTGTTATGGTGAAATAAATGAAGCCAGTTGACTGCAGCTGTATGGAAAAATATTTTTTCACATCTAATGTGTTTTCTACCCAACTGTCATATTGTAATCCTTTTGGATATACCGTGGACACTCGGATATAAGTCTACGGTCGTAAATTATATAAAGTTGACTAGAGAGAAGGAAACAACAGACTTTTGTGTCAAAGTGCTGTACCCTATACAAAGTGCCTCTAGCTAGGTTATAGTTTATATATTCTTTATAGATATATAAACTCTAACACGCCCCCTATACTAGGTAGGGGCATGGACTAAAAAGTTACAGTAAATCCATAAAAGCACTACTAGTCTGACCACTGAGGCAAGGGCCAAAAGGCTAGTTAACAAGTGTAATAAGACAGTCAGTATAGAGTAGCAAGTACAGAACTGGTACCGTATTCCCCCGGATAAAACACCCAGGGGTGTTAGTAAAAACCCATGTAAAATTTCGAGGGGGTATAATTGTTAGAATGGAAGAATGAATTACTAATGAGAGAAACCTAGAACATACCTGTTGGGGTTGTACTCACTAGAAGCACACACCTAGGCTAGCCTATAACTTCTACATACAGCATATGTATAAGTTGACACACCCCCTAGGCTAGAGAAGGGGTGGTGCTAAGCAAGAAGCACACAGCTCAGGGTGGCACTACTAGTCCAACCACTGAGGCAGGGGTCCGGAGACCAGTCAGCAAGAGTACAAACAAGACTAAAGCAAACCAGGGCGGCACTACTAGTCCAGCCACTGGAGGCAAGGCCTCAAGGCCAGCCAGCCAGTATATATAGTAGAGAGTACACAATCAGACTCCTAACAAGTGAGTAGCTACAGGAACAAGACCAAGCTGTACACAGTGCCGCTGATGATCTTTAGGCCGCTCACCTAAGTCAGTGAGCAAAAGGTAAGCCAGCGGAGCTGCTGTGTCGCCATGGCACTGGCGTAGATCTCAGCCTCACAGCTGGACTGAGCAACAGACGACGAGCGAGTGGATCTCCAAGAGATAGCACCCGAACCAAGGCTAAAACAGTAACCCTGAGACGACCTGAGAGTCTCAGAGTCGTCTGCCCAAGAAGCGTCTGTGTGCCCGGTGAGAACCACTGGCCTGCGTCCTCCAAGCACTAACCCCATGCCCGATGTACTTGCTGGATATCGCAAAACCCTCTTAGCGGCCGACCAGTGCTGTGGTCGGTGTCTGCCGGTGGCCACAATGCGAGCCAGGATGCTGAGAGGATATATGAGATCTGGGCGAGTGCAAGTCATCAGGTTTATGAGGCAACCCACCAACTCTGCGTAGGGGCCGCTGGGCTCTACTGGCTCCTCAGGAACGGGAGCGGAGAGCCCATGGTCTACAAGTAGAGGTGTGGGCTGTGCGGAGGAGAACTGAAGACCGAACCTCTGAAGGACCTGACGCACCAAGTGTGACTGAGTCAACGTGATGGTGCGTGCCGCTCTGTCCCTGGAGATCTGCAGGCCGAGATAGCAACGCAGCTCTCCAAGGTCAGTGCAGGTGTGTCTCTTTAGCACCTCAGCCTTCACAGAGGCCAGTGCGTCCGTGTCAGCAGTAGCGAAGACCAGGTCGTCTACGTAGACAAGGATGTAGAACGGAGTCTGGCCGGAACGCACAAAAAGTGAGGGGTCAGCAGAGGACGGAAAGAACTGCAGGTCTGCTAGCGTGGCACGCAGCGTGTCGTGCCACTCGCGGGGAGCTTGGCGCAGGCCGTAGACCGGGCGCCTGAGAAGCCACTAGGTCCCAGGGGGGAAGGTACCAGTAAAGCCCTGTAGTCGGCGCAGGTAGACCTGCTCATGTAGGCTGCCCTGAAGAAAGGCAGTAGAGAAGTGGAGGGAGTGAAGCTCGTAGTCGCGCTGTGCTGCTATGTGTAGCAGTGCCCGAAGAGTAGTCATCTTCGGGGTCGGGGCAAAGGTCTGGAAGAAGTCCACCCCCTCGCGCTGGCTGAAGCCTCTAGCCACGTAGCGCGCCTTGAAGACAGGTGGCTCTCCAGGGGGGCGCATCACCTTGAAGAGCCACCGACCATCGACTACCTTCACCCAAGGAGGGGGAACTGCGTCGACGTAAGTGCCGGTGGGCCTCCAAGATGCCATCTCCTGCTCCATGGCAGCTATCCACTGAGAGGCCCAGGGTCCCGAGGGGGCCTCAGCGTAGGTGCAAGGGGTCGGGATATCGAAGGCGTCTGGGTCACCCTCTGGGACTAGGAGCATGGAACAGAGATGGGGAGCGGCCTCCGAAAGGAAAGCAAGCTCGTACTGCCTATCCTCTAGAATGTCACTGCCAAGGGCAGGTGCACCCCCGACGGACGGAGGACGGGCAGGGTCAGAGACCAGAGCGGTAGCGTAGTCAAGGCGGTGAGTAGAGGGGAAGTCAGCGACAGCAGCGACAAGAGCGTCAAGGTGCGAGATAGGAACAGACGGGTCTGTAACAAGAGAGGCAAGGACCCGAGGGACAAGGGGACGAGCGGCACGGAGGTAGTCAGACAGCGGGGGAGGTGCAATATCAAGCGACGAGGGAGGAGGCGAGGGGAGGAGGGGAGGATGAGACGAGTCGGAACGGAGCAACATAGGGTGGGAGCGCAGGACAGGAGAGACGGGACGAGCACGTGAGGGATGGCGAGACCAAACGTGGGACGGAGGTGTAGGGTCAGGAGACTGCGGAGGGGACACAAATGGGGAACGAGGAGGAAGACGGGCTGGAGAAGAGTCCGGGGGTGGGAACACAGGACCGTAGATAGGAAGGTGAGAAGGTGGTGGGGGAGACACCGGCGAGCGGAAGGCCGAGCAGGCGAAGAGCGGAGACCGGCGGCGACGGCTGCGGCGGCTGCTGCGGCGGCTGGGTCTCGACCCGCGGACTGGCTGGGGCACGACGACCGCCGGGAGAACACTCAACGGCAGCACCCCCAGAACCAACACCCCCAGAGCGAGAACCCCCTCCAGCACCAGAGGTACCCCCAGGCCCGCTGGGACAGACCACGCCAGGAGCCGCAGGACGAACACTCTCCTCAACGCCAGCACCCCCAGAGGCCAAGAGCGGCAGCGGCGGCGACGGCGGCGGCTGCGACGGCGGCGGCGGCGGCGGCGACTGCAACAGCGGAGGCGGAGACACCGGGGAAGGGAGATGCAGCAAGGACGGGCCGGGGGGACCACCAGAGTCCGCAGACTCCTCAACGGGGACAACCGACGGGAGGGGAGTGACATGCGAGACACCAGACGGGGCAAGACGAGGCGGGAGGGGAGCAGGGGCTACAAGGGGAGAGGGAGCAAGGAACAAGGGGGGGGAAACCAGGAGACCTCGGTGAGGGAAGCGACGGTAGAAGGAGACAGACTTGTCAAAGGTGACATCACGAGATTGAAGGAAGCGGTGAGACTGCGGGTGGTAGAAGAGCCAGTCAGACGAGTCCAGGGGGAAACCGAGGAAGACACAGGGGACAGTGCGGGTGGTGAGCTTGTCCGTGCCGGAGGCACGAACGTGAGCAAGGCAACCCCAGACGTGGAACGCAGACGCGTCACCGGGGGACCCGGTCCAAAGGAGGGTCAGCGAAACCTGCGGCCGCTGGGAGGGTGGCCACAAGTTAAGCTGGTGAGCAGCGTAGCGAACAACGAACGGCCACAGAAAATGGGGGCATCGGCATGAATCATGGAGGTACGAGCAACCTCCATGACCAAGCCGATGCGGTGCTCAACAACCCCATTCTGCTGTGGCGAGTCTGGCAAGGTGTACGACTGGGTGATGCCCTTCGCACGACAGAACTGGCCAAGCCGACCAGAGGCGAACTCGCCGCCACGGTCAGAGTGGAGACACAACACGGGGAGACTGCGGTGAAGACGCGCAGCCACAACCCATGGGAGAAAAACGTCGGGCACATCGGCCTTCCGCTCCAGGGGAAACACCGTGGTGTAGCGCGTGTAGTCGTCGATGAGCACAAGAAAGTAGAGCTCACCGCGCGGTCCGGGGACGGGGGCTGGGCCCCAAACGTCCAGGTGCAGGATCTGAAGGGGAGCAGTAGCAGGGCGAAGGGAGGAGGAGTGAGGGGCACGGCGGAGCCGGCCCTCGACGCAAGGCGTGCACGGTGGAGCAGTCGAGGGGGGAAGGGTGGGGAGCGACGCGGGGAGGCCTAAGACAAGATCGTACTGAGACATGTGACGGAGACGCAGGAGAGCAGGGTGACCTAAGCGGTGGTGCCACAAAAGGGACGGGTGAGTGAGGGACCGACACGAGCAAGCTGCAGCGACCTGGGAGGACCCACCAACGGGGGGGGAAGCGGTGTCGAGGGTAAACAGACCGGACACCGGGTCCCGAGGGAACGTCGCAAGAAGGGAACCTGAGACAGCCTCGGTACAGACAGCGAACCGCTCGTGCCCAGGGAACGTAGTGGTGATGCCGAGGCCCTGAAGCCAGCCGACACCAACCAGGTTCCTGGAGAACGAGGGAACGTGGAGGC